GCTCCGCAGCCCCCGCCGCCGGCCGCCGCCCCGCAGGCCGGGGAGGACCCCACCGAGACGAGCGACGCGCTGCTGGTCCTGGAGGGCTTGGAGTCGGAGGCCGAGAGCCTAGAGACCAACAGCTGCTCGGAAGAAGAGCTCAGCAGCCCGGGCCGCGGAGGAGGAGGGGGCGGCCGGCTGGTGCTGCAGCCCCCGGGGCCCGATGTGCCCCCCGCGCCCTTCCCGCTGCAGGACTTGGTCCCTTCGGGCCGGCCGAGCCGAGCCGAGCAGCAGCTGCCGCCACCGCCGCCGCCGCCTGCCGGGCCCCTCCGGCCCCTCGCAGGCCCCTCTCGGAAGGGCTCCTTCAAGATCCGCCTCAGTCGCCTCTTCCGCACGAAGAGCTGCAACGGCGGCTCGGGCGGCGGGGACGGGACCGGCAAGAGGCCTTCGGGAGAGCTGGCCGCCTCCGCCGCGAACCTCACCGACGTGGGATGCCCTGCCGGTCGGGAGGTGGACGCGGGGAGGTGAGACCGGCGTGGGGCTGGCGACAAACTTGCCTGCCTTTTTTCCTTACCCGCCCCCCCCTCCCCGTTTTTTTCTTGACTGCTAACACGATCCTGGCAGTTTTTAAGACAGGGTCTTAAGAAGGAGGCAGAGACGGGGCTAAAAGGTGGGGGACATCTCGAATTATACCAGAGCTAATTGTCGAAACAGCTTTTGCTCTTAGTTCACATTGGGTGACACTTCTCAGCTGGTTAGCGTCTCCCTTGCTGGGAGATGCTTCCCACACCCCCACCCGTAGCCGCCCCCGCCTTGGTTCTAGTTTTTCCAAGGTGTCTCTCCACCGTTATTAGCCCTGCAAGGAGTTTGCTGGAATATTTGGCCTTGGGGCCAAAAAACTGGTGGCCCTATCACCTTGCTTATTATCACGGTGATGCCTTCTCATTATGCTGTGTCCCTGCACCCCAGCCCTTCCACTCCGGTGGATCACAACAGACCGGGAACACCTGCCAGCCCACTGGGTGTCCGTTCAGTTTTGGGCTTTGCTGGTGGTTTCCTTAGACACACACACTGTCTGAATAGAAAATAGCTTTGCTCTCAGGCCCGTGCAGGAAGTCTGAGTGAGGACTGTGAATTCTAGGCCAATTAATGAAAATTCCAAGCTTAGACATTGAGTTTTTCCCTGCATTTCTGTTATTTGACACTCGGGGTTAGGTCTGCATTACCGAGTGTGGTAATAGAAAGCTGTCAACTTCTGTGTCAGTGAAATGAGACTTCCCTTGTTCTGACTGCCAGGGTGGATTATGTTCCAAATGGGTCTTAGGAAGACTGGCACTGGTCATGGCGGGGCTTGTGTGATAGATGCTTGAGACCTACTAAGCCACAGAGCGAGGCGGCGCCGGGCGCCAGTCTCCAGAACAGGTAGACCGTGTATGTTGATAACCTTGCTGTGTGCCAGAGTCACTGGTGGGGGCATAGAAAAGCTCTGTTTGCCTGGGGTCCAAGAATTTGAATTTTTAAAAAGGTGTCCAGTTCATTCTGGACCGGGAAGCACTCATTGCATGGAATTTCCTTTGAAAGGGAGCTTTGGGGCTCCAGGAGAAAAAAGTGAGCGGGGTTTGGCTTTGTTCCCCTTTCTGAGCTGCTGTGCTGTGGGTTTATTTTGGGGAATGGGTCAGACCCAAACTCCCTAAGGAAATCAGCGTGTTGCCTTTCAGGTAGGCCCACGTTTCTCCATTGCCTCCGGATGAACTCATGCTGGGAGCTCAGGTCTTGAAAAGTGTGTGGCTGCTGAAGCAGCTTTTATTGTGGTTGGCTCTGCATTCGATGCTCCACTTAGCAATCATGAGATTCTCCTTGGATGGGGGTGGGGGGCAGGATTGACGCTGTGGGTAATGACACAGGATAGATTGGTAATTTTCTTAGGGTTTCTCCTGCCTTTGTTCCATATTGACCAGGACTTGGTCTAAGCTTCCAGAGACTGCCAGACATGAGGTGTGGCGTGAAATTAGCTGCTCTGTCTAATAGATTCGGAAGAGGAAAAGGCATATTACGTTCCATGGCTTTTTGCCTTTGGAAGCAGAATTTAATGGTCATTGGCTGCTCTGTCACAGCCTTCACACTAAGCACAATACAGCTTCCTGCTGCAGAGCGAATCGGGCCGAAGTTCTGCAGGGGAGCTTAGTTTAGGGGCCTGGAGAATGACATTTTTTGGTTCCAGGCTTTTTTCTGATGAGTTGGAGAAGAGCGAGGTGTTGGTGCCTGAGCGTGTGGTGCGATGCTGTTGGGGGGCAGCGTGTTGGTGGCGGCTGGGAAAGCCTAGGTTGCATGTAGGACTCAGTGTCAGCTGTGAAATGGAGGCCGATTGGTCGTCTTCATGCTTCCGTTCCTTGCATCTGTGAAATGGGAGCGTGATGCCTATCTCGTTCCTGTCCTTGCAGGACTAGGATGAAGACAAGGGAGATCTTCAGTAGAATATTTTGTGCTTTTTGGAAGAGAAGCTGCACTACTGCACTGGTACATTTTTTCTGTGCTCCGGATCTGGTGCTGCTTGCTAGCTTTCCCACAGCTCACTGTGTGCCAGTCTCACTGGCAGCCGCACAGCTGTGAGGCACGGGCTGAGTCTGGCCAGCATGGCTGTGACTGCTGTGCACCTCCGAAGCAAGTCCGCACTGGTGGGAGGAGGGATGAGTTGGGATTTTTCGCTGTTCTCTTGTCTTGATGGGTAGGACCTGTAAACAGTGAGAAATTTCAGTCTTTTGCCGAAGGGTATATGCCTTCCTCCTCCTTGTTGGTTAGGATTAATTATGGGCCTCTGCTGTGTAATTCGGGGCATTTATAGGAACCTCTAGGCATACTTCTCTTTGCTCCTGTTCAACATCTACTTTTCCCATCTATCTTTCCCACAGCTACCGACAAGAAAGTACATCCCGTCATCATTTTATAAGGCTCAGCAGTTTCCATATTTTAAAACTAAACAAAACTTGACTTCTTTTCAGATGCTTTGAGTCTGCTGAGTGGACATGCCTAGATGTACTGAGTCTACAGGCACTAGGGTTTAACTTAAAGAATGCTTTTTAGCTAAAGTAAGACGTAGGCCTGCCAGCTAATCAAGTTTCTGTTCTGGGAATTGGGCTAGGCCTTGTACCACACATATGTCAGAATTCAGAGAGCTGGGCTTGATGCCCGTGGGCCTCTGTGTAATATAGAACTTTGCTATTTCAGGAAAACCGGTGGAATTTCCTGGGCTGTTTCACATATGTTGAGCTAATTGTCTTCTTTGGATTTGAGGGGAGATAGCATTTGATCCGCCCTTCTTGAATCATCACGGAACACAGAGTTGGGAATGCAGCACCTTGTTCATTTTTCAAGGTTTGTTTTTATAGCCAGGTGTGGTGGCGCACACCTGTGATCCCAGCACCGAGGAGGCTGCGGTAGCAGGGTCGCCAGGAGTTCGAGGCCAGCCTGGGCTACATAGTAAATTCAAGGCCAGCCTGAGCTACATGGTGAGACCCTGTCTCAGGCACAGAAAACACAACAAAAACAGGTTTGTTTTTACTAATCGTGGAGGCTTTCCCGGCAGTCTTCATAGCTGTGAGGTACAGAAATGGAGAGCGGCTCTGAGGTGGTTTTCTGCTTGGGGAAAAAGAGATGGAGTTTGGGATGGAGGCAGGCTGCCTTGGCGTCTGTGTGGGCTCTGCTGTTGTGGACAGACCTGACAGACTGGAGAAAGGTTTTTCACTAATTTGGGGGTCTTCGGAGCTAGAGGCGTCTTTCTGTCAGAGCATGACGTGCTGAGAACGAAATGGTTTCGTGTTGTGGTGAGGAATATGTTTGGATTTGGGGGTCCACACTCTGTTGATCTTTTTCACTATTTTTCCACAAAGTGGCTGTGCTTGGCAACTCTCTCCGAACGGGCTCCCTGGCTCTAGCAGTCTGTCTGTCCACTTGAGCCTTGTGCATTTCCCTTCCCACATTCCTCGGGCTTGAGGCTTGGCCTGTGCCTGCTGGCCTCCCCTGGAAGTGCCCCCGTCGGCTCTGGGCTGGTGTGTTATGGAGTTGGGTCTGACCTTGCTGCACAGATGTCTGTGTATTGGAACTAGAAACGAGCACATGGTTTTCATGCCTGCAGCACATGAACAGGCACTGGCTGTGACATGCTGGAAATGGCACAGGCTGCCTGGCTTGGCACTGTGCGCTTTAGTAGGGCCAGAGGCACACGGGGGCAGCAAAACCTCGAATTTGGGCACCCTAGTTTGGAAGTAACTTTAGGGAAGAGTATACGTGTAAGCCTTAAGGCGTCTGACAAGAGCAGCAGGGCGTTGCTTTTTCATTGCTTATGCTTTAGGTTTTAGGAATTTGAGAACTGGCCAGTGCTTGTATCTGTGCATGGCTGTCCTGTGTAGCCTAGCGCTTATAGCTCCTTTTACCAAATCCCAAGTCTGTGCAGTACGCATAGTAATTTGCAGTGTCTTCACCTACGGCATAGGCAGTGACAGAGCTGAGGCCTCAGAGAAGCGCTTCGCCTGAGCCTCCTGCCCGTTGTATTCCGTCACCGGGGTGGGGCGTAGCCCACCAAATCCTGCCCACTCACCCTAGCACTTGAAAGTCTGCTCCTAGTCCAGGGGGCCCACTGCCAGGGTTACAATGGTTTCAGGTTGCACCCCAGTGCTTGTCAAGGTGATCTGGGGAAGAATAAACACATGGCATTGTGGTCTAGAGGAGTCATTTAAAATCTATACTGGAGCCATGTCATTCATGGAGCTCTCCAAAAAGCAGCAGGTCAGCTTAGAGTGGGTGTTTTATCATTCCAGATGTTCTCTCTGTGCCAAAGGGGCCGGACCTAAGCAGTGATGCTACCTGCCCCCTCAGCAGATGTGTGGAGTGTTATCAGTACGAGGAAGGCCTGAGTGTTGCTTCCGGATTACATTCTGCCCTTCCAGGGGGTAACCGCATCCTCAGTTTTGTGTTAATCACTCCCCTGCTTTGTGGTCATAGTCGTGCTCTAGGTTGGTCTGTTATGAATGACAGCTGTCAGGATGCTCTCGGGCCCTTGAGGCAGACACTGCTTTAGGTTGTTAGTTAGGCTGCATCTCCCTGAAGAGAAGGAGCCACACATTTTTTATTATCAGTCTTTCAGCCTCTTAGACCTTTTTTGCTTCGCATTCAGCCACAAGGCACTCTTGTTTGCCAGGAAAATCCATCTTGGTGCTCACACATGGTTCTGCCTGGGTTTAGCCTCAGATGTTTTGTCTTTTTCTAGATCCTAGAGACTGGTTTTCTTCTTCAAAATGCCAGGGGCGGGGGAGAAGACGAGCCGCAGTGAGAAAGCTCCTGCAAGGCGCGTGCATGTGGGCACTGCCGTTCCTCAGGCTTGGCACCAGAGCTGCGTCCCCACATGGGCAGATGGCACAGCAGTGCAGCTTCCTTTGAAAAGAGGCAGACAGCCAAGTGGCTGAGATGTGAACCTTCCGAAAGGCCAGTGCATGGGTTTCTGCTCGCTGAGTTTGTGTTGTACCTGCGAGTTGTCAGATGCAAGTCAGCTCGGCAGCTCCCGAGCAGCCTTCACACTCATGTCCAGTGGAATTCGCTTCCGTTCTAGCCCTCGGGATTGTTGGCGCTAGAGCGGCAGCCATCACAGCCCCTTTGATCCACCCAGGGGCTGGTGTGGCTGCGCACAGTGCGTGTTGCTCTCAGAGCCTCGGGTCCGGCCTAGAGGAGGCTGCAGCGGAGTGTGAGGTGGGAGCCCCCACAGGCCAGCCCTGTCCCAGCGCGGGCTTTGTGCGTGAATTTAGAATTGTCTTTGAGTTCTGAGAAGCTCAGACACCTGTGTCAAAACATAAGTGGATAAGCATCTTTTGGAGTCACTTGTACATAGGACTTTACAATTGTAAAATCTAAATATAATTATGAATTTACAAATATAATTATAAAATAGATACAATTTTATAATTGTAAAGTAGGATTTTGGGATTTTTTTTTTTTTTTTTTTTGCTTTTGCTCTCCACTATTGGTACAGTTGATGATTAAAAAAAGTTTAAGTTTTGTTTAGGACCTGAGGTGAGAATATTTTTAGGTGAGCCAGCTATAATGTGTGGAGTCAGGTACTGTAGTGTTGTAGCCATAATGCCTAGAGTCAGCTAGTCAATTCTTTTTTTTTTTTTGACACCAGGAATTGAACTCAGGACCTTGTGCTTGCCAGGCTGCTGAGCTATGTCTCCTGCCCAGCTGGTCAGTTCTGAGGAGGGATTTTTTTTTTTTTTTGTAAAGTCTGGTTTACTAAGATATAATTTATTTGTTACAAAATTTCTGTCTCTGGCTGGGCATGGTGATGCACATGCCTATAATCCCAGCACTTGGGAGGCTGAGGCAGGAGGATCGTTGTGAGTTTGAGGCCAGCCTGAACTGCATAGCGAGACCCTGTCTCAAAAAGACAAAATAAATAAGTAAATAAATAAATAAATAGAAACAAAATGTGTCTCTTTTAAATGTCTAGTTCTGCTAATTTTGACAAACTTTAGTCGTCAGAACTTCAGTCTGGCTCAGCAGGTAACCCCCTTGCGTCACTTCATCGTGACTCCCTCGTAGCTAGTTCCGTCATCTTAAGGTGCACTCCTGGAGTCTGGCACGTTTCAGAAAGCCTATATTGGAGGTTTTTGGATTTCTTTCATTTCTTGCTGTCAAGCCAGTTGAAATTGGTATAGATTAAGTTCCCTTGAGTGTGTAATCAAAAGGAGGCCTGGGCCCGGGGAGGGGATGTGGCTGGATGGGAGTGGTAGAGTGCTCACCTAGCGTGTATGTGGCCCTGGGCTCCATTTCCAGCACCAGGCACATGTGTGCACATGCACATGCATACGCGTGCGCGCGCGCGCGCGCACACACACACACACACACACGCGTGAGACTGGATATCTGGATTTTCAGTTGGTCTCTGGAATGGCTTCTGGGAGGGGTCATACGGAGCCCCCACCTGGAGGTAGCCACCTGTTAGTCGTGGTCTAGGCCCACACCTCAGAACAGTTGTGCAGAAATCAGGTCTCTGGACGCAGATGGTGGCGCACCCTGGCCCTAGGCCTGAGTGTGTTCCTGGCTCCCTCCGGCATCCTGCTCCAAGGGTAGCCCCAGAGGGAAAGCTGCCCATGTCAGCAGTGCCTGTTGGGGTCTAGAACCTTTTTTTTTTTGCTCCCAAATGAAAATCAACTTTGCATCTGACTTACTTCCTCTTGCAATGGACTAGTTATCACTCAGGGTGTTGTACTCTGGTAACTATTGGGTTTGGAGAGCTCCTAAGGGATGCCTTATTTTGTGGGTTGGTAACTTGGTAGCCAAACCCATTTGAGGAATTGCCTTCATTATTGCATTCTTTAAATTTTAGGCTTTGTTACAAGAGCGTTGCTGAGTTGCTGACGGTTCCTGGGGTTTGCTGTGTTCTCAGAGCACCTGCATTTGAGTATGGTAGTGACTGAAATGCAGGCGTTCCTTTCTCCCTTTCATTCTCTGTGTTCTTACCCCCAGGAAACCCAGGTTGACAAGAACTCAAAGTGCCTTTTCTCCGGTCTCCTTCAGCCCCCTGTTCACAGGTAAGGGTAGCTTTTTCTGTTGTCTGGTGTCTGAAAGCAGAACTGTTCTAAGACCTGTCAGGCCTTTTAGAGATACTGGTAGCCTCATTTTCTTAATTGGGAAGGGTTAAAATATTAGCTGGTGGGCTCTGCAGCCCTGGGCAAGAAAAAGGTATAGGAAAGAACACTATGAGGGCTCAGGTAGAGAAATCCTGGGCTCTGACTGTGTGTCAGACCCGCCAGAGCAGATGTATTCCAGGCCATCGGCCTGTTAACAGAGTGCCCCTCATTCATTCTCTGGAGACTTACAGGGGTCTCCAGGCCTGCCTGCAGTCATTACCTTCATTGCAGCCCTCTGGGTTGGGGTAAGACACTTTCTAGGGTGTGGAATGATATTCGTGACTTGAGATGCTCTAGCTGGGGAGCTGAGGGCCGCTTGTTGGTAATTGGGCAGCCCTGGCACTTACGAGTGTTTAGTTCAGGGTTATCGCATATGAATTAAAAGTAGGAATTACAAACTTATAGTCTCATATGCATGAAAGACTCGTGAAGTCATATAATTCCTGTCCCTGCTTCCAAGGGAGGTCATAGATTATCTAATGAAAGTGATCCATGTATATCGGGTCTATTTTTAAAGACTTTGGGCAAAGGGGATTACCCGTTTTAGGGGCTAGCGGTTGTTGCAGCTGTTAGGGCTCTTCGTGGTATCTAATTTAAGCCTTTCCTCTTGCAGCAGGGAACGCAGTTTATAACGGAGGAAAGCTATTAAATGCCCTCTGGGTAATGGGTAGCTGCTTGTTTTTCAGTAGTAGTACTGAGGATTGAACCCCACGGGGTCTGACATGTGCTGGGCAAGTGCTCTGCCATTGAACTGCACTCCCAGCCTTGCTTTTTTTTTTTTTTTTTTGGAGAGTCAGACTCAGGACCTTGCACTTGCCAGGCAGGCGCTTGTACCACTGAGCTATATCACCAGCACCAACCCTGCTTGTTTTATGGGGAACTTTCTCATAGAGGGAGAGTTTCCCTTGGTGGAATGTGAAGCTCCTGACTGAATAAATCATAGGAAAGGGGGTCTTTTCCATACTGCCCCAAGTCTCAGAAACTGAGTGCTGTCCTGGTTGTGAGTGAGAAGCCTTTTTTAAAAACCCCACTGTCACCAGGCTTGATGGTGCACGCCTGTGATCAATCCCAGCACTCAGGAGACTGAGGCAGGAGGAACACTGTGAGTTCGAGGCCAGCCTGGGCTTACATAGTGAGGCCCTGTCTCAAACTCACCCTCCAAAAAAACCCTCCTAAAAATATCACTGTCAAACTTCTTTAGGTATTGTGTTCCTCAAAAAAGTGATTGATTGAAAGAATTACGATTTGGGAATGGAGCTTTCCAGGAAAATGTTAAGCCAGGGGGCGGAGAACTTTTATTTAAGTTCTGCCCCTACAGCCAAGACCTCTCAGACCTGTTAGTGTCACCCCAGCAGGTTGGCTGGGCCCGGGACACTGCTTGGGAAGAGAGGTTCTCAGTTGGTGACTCTACTTCCGGTTGCTTTACTCATGACTTCTAGAGCTTTCTGCATGTCTTTTTTTGCAGAACTGGGGCCCAAACCTGTAGCCGTGACCATGTTACCCAGTGCTCTTTCACTGAGGTCCCCCAGCTCTCCCATTTTCGTTAGTGTTCAAGACCTTCGCAAAAAACTTGAGGTTCTGTAAACTTAGCTCCTGGCTCTGTAGAGATACTGGTTGCCTCATTGTTTGTTTGTTTGTTTAACTGGGAAGCATTAAATATTAACTGAGGGGCCAGTTCAACCCTGGGTAAGAAGAAGGTATTGGAAATAACACTCTAAGGGCTAAAGTAGAGAAACCCTGGGCTCTGACCTGCCAAAATGAACATATTCCAAGCCATCAAGGTGGTAATAAATACCCTTCATCCTTTGGAGACTTAAGTGGGGAGGGAGCTGATAGGGTAGGGGACAGGCAAGGGTTGGAACTGTGTGACACACTGGAAGGAAGAGAAGCCATGTGCTACCTCTATGAGTTCCTGTTGCAAAGCTGCCTCTGAGCCCCCAAACTGTGGCTCTCTGTGAAGTCTTAGTCTTTAGGGTTGTAAATACGCTTTCAGACTTGGAAGCCTCAGCTATGAGGAACTAACTTCCTTTTAAAATTTTTTTGTAGGACGGGGGTCTGAACCTAGGGCCTTGTGCATGTCCAGCAAGCACTCTGCCACTGAGCCCTTTTTATTTTATTTTATTTTACTTTATTTTATTGATTGATTGATTGATTGTCTTTTTGAGACAAGGTCTCACTATGCAGCTCAGGCTGGCCTTGAGCTCACTTTGTAGACCAGGCTGGTCTTGAACTCACAAGGATCTCTTGCCTCAGCCTCCCGAGTGCTGGGATTGCAGGTGTGTGCCACCACGCCCGGCCTTCATTTTATTTTTGAGAAAGGGTCTTGGTACATTGCTCAAGCTGGCCGTGAAATTTTATTTTTTTTATTTTTTTGGTCTTTTTGAGACAGGGTCTCGCTATGCACTTCAGGCTGGCCTTGAGCTCAGTTTGTAGCCCAGGCTGGTCTCCAGCTCACAATGATATTCCTGCCTCAGCCTCCCGAGTGCTGGGATTACAGGCGTGCGCCACCACGCCCATCGTTGAACTTGTGATTCTCCTACTTTAGCCTCCTTGGGCTGGAATTACAGATGCCACCATGTCCTGCTAATTGACATCTTAAATGGTAGATTCTCTTTTAGGTGAATACTCTGGAAACTTTAGTTAGAGATAATTGGCTAAGCTAATGCTGAAATCTGTGTTTGCATTTAGCTTTCCTGCAGTTCTTTACATTTTTCTGGCACTTGATTTTTCCCTGTCCCTTTGGCCTAACAAGCCACCTGCCTTGCTTCCTAAGGCAGAAATTGGTGTGCAAGTCGATAAAGACATAGTGTGGGTTCCATTCAATAAAGAAAACCCGTCAGGTTCAGGGTTGTAGGCCTTCTTCAAGTAAGTCAGCGGCAGAACCAGCATTAGTTGGTCCCAGCTTTTTCTCCCAGAAGAACCCCCTTACCCTTACCAGGGTGAAGGAGTGGCCGAAGTTTAAACTGACTGTGCTCAGGGGGACTCTGGCCCCAGGAGCACTGGGTTCTGGGCTTTGCGAAAGCCATGGCCTCCGTTGCTTGCCCTCTGCTTCCCTTTGCTCTTGGACAAGGGGCTTTGGTGACACGCTTGCTTATGCCTCCCTCAGGTGAAACAGTGTCGCTTGTGGACGTGGACATTTCTCAGCGGGGGCTGAGCTCCCCACACCCTCCAACTCCCCCTCCTCCTCCGAGAAGAAGCCTCAGCCTCCTAGGTACTGCCTCCTCCCCTCTGCCCTCTGCCGGCCCGCCGGGGTGCTCGCTCTTTGCCAGGAGCCAGGCAGGCCTTGGGTTTCCAGTGGTGACTGGTTCTTTCCTGTCCCAAGCAGTCGAAGGGGGCTCTCACCTGCATGCTGCAGCACTAACTTCCATTTGTTAATTAGCTTTCCATTTCCCTTGCCCTGGGTCTGTTGCCCTGAGCTGCCTGGGGTGCCCTCACTCCTGCTTTCTAAGCCAGGCCATGTTAGATGACTGACTTGCCTCTGGGTGAGAACAGTGCAGGGCAGGCCGCTGTGCCCCAAAGGGCAGTCTGACGGGATGCCCCTTCCCCCTCTGCCTCCGCCCCACTCATTCTGTGCTCCTTTTCTGAACATTTGCTTTTGTTCTCTCTTCTAGATGATATCAGTGGGACGCTGCCTACATCTGTCCTTGTGGCTCCGATGGGGTCTTCCCTGCAGTCTTTCCCCCTTCCTCCGCCTCCTCCGCCCCATGCCCCAGGTTAGCGTAGCTTAGAGGCAAGACCCGGAGAGTGGAGGGCTGGGAGAAGTCCATTGTGAGGTCACAGTCCTGAGAGCGCTTACCTCTCTTTCTCTTTGGCTGGACCAGATCGCCTTGGAAAGGAGGCTGAGAACTGTTTTTTTCTAACCCGTTTTCTTATGGAGGGGAATTTGATTTTTCTCAGGAATAAAAGACCCTTGAATTTTTCATCTCCTGGCCGCTGAGACTGGACTACCAATCTCTGAATTAGACCTTGCTTAAGAAATTGCCTTCCTGCCAGAGTAGTGAGGAGGTTTGCAGTGTTGTTGGGTTCAGAGTTCTGTGCTTTTCTAAGCTGTTAGTATTCACTGCAGCCTTGTAAGTGCACACCGAGCATTTAAGCAGCCCGTGCCTGCTTTGCCAGCCTGCGGCACCCAAGGAATAAAGTGAGTGAAGCAGCATTCTTTCTACTTGCTTGGCAAAGTCCTTACTCTTCCCGGGCAAGTAAGCGAGCCACTATTTCCAAGGCTGCCTTACCAGCACTGCACTTCGAGGTGAGAGAAGTTGGCGTCGCTCTAGGCTGGTGAAGGCCCGCAGTAGTCACCTTAGTCAGGTTAGTGAGCAGCCGCGCCCTGGGGTGGAGCCCGCCATCCTCACAGCGCACACGGCTTTTACGTCACAGCGCACACGGCCGCACAGCTTCCTTCCAGCCCATCCAGCTCCTCCCCACGGCTTTGGCTTCCACCTCTCAGCTTAGCTTCTAATGCCTCACCCCTCTTCAGTTAGCATCTGTCTTGGGGGACGGGTGTGCTTGGGGGTGGGAGCGGCAAGGGCCAGCGGTGACCCTGCCGTCTCGCTCTGCAGATGCGTTTCCCCGGATTGCTCCTCTCCGAGCCGCCGAGTCCCTGCACAGCCAGCCTCCGCAGCACCTGCAGTGTCCCCTCTACCGGCCCGACTCAAGCAGCTTTGCAGCCAGCCTCCGCGAGCTGGAGAAGGTGGGTGCTGTCCCCACCACCACAGTACCCGTGGGGGCTGCGCCAGGCCCTGGGGATTGTTCTTAGCGGTTTCCTGACCTCTGTGTTCGCAGTGACTTTTCCGCCCGAGATGTAATGAGATGGAATTTAGGGGGAAAATGCACACAGTGGAGGAATGCCGGTTTTGATAGTTCCTGCAGCTCCCTCCTCTTTTCTTCGTAGGGCCTTTAGGAGAATTATAGAATTAGTCTTCTTTACATTGAGGGACTGAGAGTGCATTGAGCGTGGTGTGCACTGCTGATGGTGGAGACCCTAGAAGTGGCTGTCACCTATCCCGATGTTGTGAAAAATGGGGTGGGGTCTCCTTGGGTACAACGGGCTGTGCCAAAAACCTTGACACCTCTGCTTGGTTAACTACTTGGCTGTTTCCCGTCTTTGACAGTGCGGGTGGTATTGGGGGCCGATGAATTGGGAAGACGCAGAGATGAAGCTGAAAGGGAAGCCGGATGGTTCCTTCCTGGTGCGAGACAGCTCGGACCCTCGGTACATCCTGAGCCTCAGTTTCCGGTCCCAGGGCATCACCCACCACACCAGAATGGAGCACTACCGAGGTGAGGGCCCGGGCCGTGAGAGGCTTCTCCTCTTTGCCCTTCCCTACCTCTTCCTGGGAAGGATTTAGAGGAATGGAACTAGGATGGGAAGTCTCAGACTCACTGGGGAGGAAGAGCGGGGGCGGGGGCGGGGCAGGGCTGCATCCAGGTCTCCCAGCATCTTATCTCCTGGTAGGGGGAACAGAACCTTCGAGAGGCTTTTGGGTGCAGGACCCGTACAGCTCTCCTGAGCTTCATTCAAAAGAAATTTCTTTTTTTGTCTTTTTGAGACAGGGTCTCGCTATGCAATTCAGGCTGGCCTTTGTAGCCCGGGCTGTCCTCAAACTTGCAACAATCCTCTGGTCTCAGCCTCCTAATTGCTGGGATTACAGGCATGTGCCACCATATCTGGCCCAAAATTAAACTTCGGGCCAGGGAGATAGCTCAGTAGCACAAGCACCTGCCTGGCAAGCGCAAGGCCCTGAGTTACATTCCCAGTACCAAACAAAAACAAAAACAAAAACAAAATTAAACTTAGCTTTCAGAGATCCTGTGATGGTTCTGTTCTGAGTCTCTTTGCTAGTGCTGCAGTGGGTGGTGACAGTTCCCTCTCCTGTCCGTCAGGTTTGTAAGTCTCAGGAGCAGTCACCAGAATGTTGCGAGTCTGTGAGGTCAGCACTCGAGACACCTGCTGTCCTGGCGGCACTGCTTCGTCTGTGGTGTCTCATGTCCCGGTCATGTTGAGAAGCCATCTTGTTGAGCACAGTTGTCTGGATTGACTTTGTACTGGGCCATTCTGATTTGACTTGGGCCAGAAATTTCTGGTGGTCTTGGGTAGCAGGGCTGGAAGTCCATCTTCCGTCAGGACCCCTGAATAAAGTGCCAGAAGCAAAGCTTTGAGGATGTGGGGTCATTCCGGGGCGTGCCCTCCCATCCTCGCAGTCTCCGGTGTGTCCTGCCTTGCACGGCTCTGCCTCTCAGAGAAGAGCCTCTGCCATGCTCTCTGTGGCACTGGGCACCTTCCCCTGCTCAGCTCCTGTTCTGTGGACCGACTCTGGAGAAACAGGAAGTAGCTCTGTAGGTCAGGGTAGTTTTGGCCATAGTTTCTTGTGCCGGACTTAGAGGAAGGAGCTTGAGTCCACAGACCCAAGAATGAGTTTTATAACTTGGGGGGTAGGGGAGCTGCTTATTTTCCTGCAGCTCCTAAAACCTAAAATTAAATAGACAAAACCAAAATGCAAAACAGAGCATTTCCAAGGGAAGCGTTTGTTTTTTGTTTGTTTTTTTTTTTTTAATTTTTTTTTAATTTTAATTTTAATTTTTAAAATTTTTTTATTTTAAAGAGTAGAAGAAGGATGACATAGTAATAGGGGGGCTTACCAAATTACAGACAAAGTGGTAGGAAATTATCAATGGTTATTGTTTTACATACTGTTATCTACAAGATAGTTTCTCAGGAAAACAAATAGACAAATAATAGTGAGTTACAGACAAAAGAGGTAGGAGATTATCAATAGTTGTTGTACTATACTTTGGTATCTTCAAAGTGGCTTCTAAAGAAAATAAATAGAGCTATACATGAGTGACTAATTGAATAATCATTAACTATTCTCAATGGTTGTTGTAGGAAACACATAATAATAAACATGCATCCATTTACGAAATAGCATAGAAACAATACACACATTACAGAGGTATGGACAGATTACTAGGAAAATATCAATGGCTGCTATAATACATGGTGGTATCTTCAAAGTGGTTTCTCAGGAAGACAGAGATATGCAAGGAGGATCTAACAAGTAGTTACAGCCTAAGGGTTGTGAAAAATAGTGTATTACCTCCTCACCAGTGACTCCTGTCACTGAGGTGTGACGGCTGGAAGGAAGGCCAGGATTGAAAAGAAGGACCGAGAGACTTGCACCTGTGTTTAGGAACAGGCTGTTTTCTGTTCCTCCATAGTCATGATTACCCAGGGCTCCTCCATGGAGGTGACAGTCTGGCCAGAGGGAGAAGGCAGAGTATGCCCTGGGCCCCCTCATTCCTGTTGGACCAACTGGTAGGGTGTGTCTGAGCTCTGGGGCCTCTGCTTCAGAGGGTAGACCGCTCTCCAGTGGTCTCCTGTGCATTCAGGGCATGGCCCAGGGGGCCTCTTAGGGCAGTTCCTCTTGAAGTGACCTGGCTTTTAATATTAGTAGCAGATGAATGCAGTTGTCAAGTTCTTCTTGGGGCCCCAAGAATCACACTTAGGGTCTGTTTCTCTTAGTGCTGCAGCAAAAGCAGGTGGTTTTTCTCAGTCTCTTTGTTTTCTCTTCTTGGCCTCCTGCTCGTCACGGCTATAGAATACTGAGGAGGCAATTCTTACTAACATCTTAAGTGAGCCATCTGGGGCAAAAGCCATTTTTTTGTAGCTTTTTCTCTCCAGCCTCCCATCTCACTGGGACCCCACAACCAGTTAATGTCCTCTCCCCAACCGTCAGCACAGGCAGCAGGAATTTTAGTGCAGACCTCTTTGGACCTCCACGTACTCCTCCACCGCAGCCTGTACTGTCATGGGAAGAATGGCTTCCAGGGGATCTCCCCAGGTATTGCTCAAGGTCCTCCTGGTTTACAGCTAAGGGAAGCATTTGTTATGGCCGAGGATATAGTCAGCGGCACAGTGCCTGCCTGGCAAATGCAAGGTCCTGTGTTCAATTCCTGGTACCAAAAAAACAAAACAAGGGAAGCATTTGTCAAACCTGTGCAAATGACAAGTGACAGAGCTGTGGGAATGGTAGAGAAATGCTTGGCCTTGGAATGCTTGGCCTTGAAGTTGCTGATAGGTGAGCTGCCAGGAGGGAACATTCTTTCAAATAGTTCTCAGTTACTTTTCACTTAAAGGAACTTTTCTTCCTTGAGTAAGTGGAGTTTGTTGTTGTTTTTGTTTTTGGTTTTTTTTGGCTTTTTCTGGTACCGGGAATTGAACTCACAACTTTGCACTTGCCAGGCAGGCGCTGTGCCACTGAGCTAAATCCCCAGCCCCTCCAGGAGTCTCTGATGGACACTTTTGTCTCTAAAGTCCCATCCATGCTCAAATCTATGCTTTCTTCCTGGAAACCTTCCTTCTGCGGCTCGATATCTGACTCTCGCCTTGAGGGCGGTGGTGGGGAGGTGACTTAAGTACCAATCTCGGCCTCACAACAGCACTGCCGTCATGATGGCCCAACCCGTCTCTGCCAGGAACAAAGTCACCCAAGCTCGCACGCTGTCCCACTGGGCACACAGTCCCCCCTTGGCTCCTCTCGCACACACAGGCCTGAGGCTCGGGTCACAATGCACCTCTCTGTGCCTCAGGGGTCCTCACATGGGAGACAGCCACATCTAACGCCTGCTCCGGAAGGCCCGTTCTGCCTGGCCCAGTGCAGCTTCTTGCCAGGATACTACTTACTTCCCCGGTGCTTGAACTGACAGCCTCACTTCTCTTTTTAAATGACTCTTGAGGGCTGGGGATTTAGCTCAGCGGCACAGTGGCTGCCTGGCAAGCGCAAGGTCATGAGTTCAATTCCTGGTACCGGCGGAGATGGGGGAGATACATAAAGTATCACTTTAAGCGTGACAGGGAGAGACTCACGACTGCAGTTCCTCAGAGTGACAGCTCTGCTGTGTACCCTCTCTGCTGGCGATCCTCCTGGAATGTAGTGCTTTAGTTTTTGGAGTTCTTGTTTTTTTAAGTCAGGGCTGTTAAGATTCCCTTTTGCCTTTGAGATTCTCAGGTTTGAGATAGGATTCTCAGGTTTGAGGTGTAACATGTTGTGGGAGGAATTTTAGAAGCTAAAGAAGGAAAGGTTGATTCTCCATGCCTGACATGGTGAGCGCAGCCCATAGCACTGCCACACCTGTTCTGCCCTCGCCCGTCTTGTGAACATTTGAACCCTTGAGTCTTCTCGGGGCATCATAGAGACCCACTTTGCTGTGGGAGTCTTTCTTCCCGTCTTTATACCAGTTGTGTGTGTGTGTGTATATATAAGTGAGGGAGAGAAAGTGTGATATGAGGATTAATGTTCATACTTTTTTTTTTTTTTGGTCTTTTTGAGACAGGGTCTCACTATGCAGTTCAGGCTGGCCTTAAGCTCACTTTGTAGCCCAGGCTGGTCTAACTTGCAATGATCCTCCTGCCTCAGCCTCCCTAGTGCTGGGATTACAGGCATGTGCCACCATGCCCAGCTTAATGTTCATACTTGACAGACTCTTTTATATTTTTTCTGACTTAAAATTTATTATTTCTTTAATAAAAATATTTTTTCCTTTTTCTTTTTTTTTTTTTTTGGTTTTTTTTTGGAACTGGGAATTGAACTCAGGACCTTGTGCTTGACAGGCAGGCATTGTGCTGGTGAGCTACATCCTGGGCCCTGAAAATATTTTAAGGCCTAATTTATGTCTTACTAAATTGAGGTGACGTCCTTCTTCCCATCGGTTGTGGGATAAACAGGAACACGTGGCTGTGGGTACCTTGGACGCAGCGTGCCCACAGATGGCTCTTCCCATACGAGAGTCACTGCCCAGTGGTTCTGAAAGACAGTTTGAGAGTTCACTTCTTCATTTTCCCTGGCAGGAACCTTTAGCCTGTGGTGTCATCCCAAATTTGAGGATCGCTGCCAGTCCGTGGTAGAATTCATCAAGAGAGCCATCATGCACTCCAAGAATGGGAAGTTCCTCTATTTCCTGAGATCCAGGGTTCCAGGTAAAGCTGTGATTGCGTTGATTATGTCACTGTATTTGGGTGTGATCCAGTGTAGCATGAGGACGCCCCACTCACGGGCAGAGGCCGTGCTTCCTTGAAGTTTTCTCCTGGCCGTTAGAGCGGTCACTCTTCCTGCGGAGCCCAGTGCAAGGCCCTGCCTTCCTGTGTGAGCCTGCGCACACGGGGGGAGTGTTGGCTTCTGCGGCCACACGGATGCGGAGCTCCTTCCCACCGATGTCCAGGCAAAGTGTGAACAGTGTTGCTCTGTGGTGTCTCCCTGTGGCTAGTGCCGGTGTCTTGAGGCTGCGTGTGAGGCCGAGCAGTGAGTGCCCACAGGCCACCGCTGGGGGCACGGGGACGGCAGAGCGTGGCTGCAGGAAGAGTGTGCGTGTGTAGGCTGGGCTCACGCAGGCTGCTTTGCTGGGTCTGCTGTGGCTTTGCCCACTGTGGGCTCAGTTTACTGTCAGAGTGGAGATTTATTTCTCCTCCATCTTGACCACTTTCGCCGCGCACACAGACCTCTCCCCGTTGGGTGCCCCACTGCCAGGCTGGCCATGTCTCTGCCTGCTCAGGAAGGTGTCTGGGTCATCTCCGGGTGGAGGGCCTGCTTGTGTAGCACTGGAGAAAGCACGTTAGCACAAGGAACTTAGAGGACACGAACAGAACCTGAGATGAGATGAGAACTCCATGCTTCCCCTGTGAATCAAATTCAGATTCTTAGGCAGATGCCAAGAGTTGCTCAAAAAAGTAGGAGCTGCTGTCGGGGCCTCAGGCGGAACTTGAGGCGCAGGACTGATCCAGGTGACAGGAACGTTTGTACAGTCACACAGCGCGACATGCTGATAATCCCAGGACTACAGTATGCTTAGATTTATAGGAAGATTACAAAGGTAGTAGAGAGAGTTGCCATACACCACCTTGGCCCATTCCTGCTACTGCAGTTAACGACTTACACTAGTACGGGACATCTGTCACAATTAACAAGCCGATATTAACATAGTTTTACTAATAGCCAAACTTGATTCAGGTTTTCTTTTTACCTAAAGTCTCCTTTAGTAGATAATAACTTTATAAAAAGTGTGTTCATGATAGCATTTCACACCTAAAAAAATGAACCGTGATTCCTTAATTTCAAATATCTGGTCAACATGAACATTTCCAGTAGTCTCGTCACTGTCTTAGTTTGTACTTTAGCTTTTTGAACTAGTTTTAGACTTACAAAGACATGGGAAAATAGCAGCACTCTTGTATACCCTTCACCGTCTTCCCCGCATCTCACAGCTGATGCTGCCCTGGTGAGGTCACTGACAGGAAGGGTTTCACACTGGGTACCTATAATCCCAGCTGCTCAGGAGGCTGGGGTAGGAGGGTCATAAGTTTGAGGGTAGCCTGGGCAGCTCAGGGACACCCTGTCTCTGAACATGAAGGGCTGGGATATAGCTGAGTGGTAGAGCCCTTGCCTAACTTGCCCGAAGGCCTAGCCTTAATCCCTAGTACTGGGAAAAACCTCCAAACCCACCTATTTTTTTTTTTTTTTTTTTTTTTTGTGGTACTGGAGATCAAACTCACGACCTTGCACTTGCCAAGCAGGCGCTTATGCCACTGAGCTATATCCCCAGCTCATTAAACCCACCTACTGAAAGTGTGCAGTTCAGTGGTTTTCAGTTATAGCATTCTTTCTTTGGTTTTTTGAGACACAGTCTTAGTTTACTAGGTAGTCCATGCTGGCCTTGGACTCACAGTGATTGTCCTGCCTCAGCCTCTGAGTGCTGGGATGACCGGCGTGCACCCCTGCACCTCATTTGCCATGTTTTGAAATTGAGAAATGTGATTCCTCTAACTGTTCTTTTTCAAGATTGTTTTGAGTCCCTTGCATTTTCATATGAATTTTTAGATCAGTTTGTCGATTTATTAAAAGAGCTCTTCTGGGTTTTGATAGAGATTGAGTTGAGTCTGAGCGTTATTAACAATATTAAATCTTCTGATCCATGAATATAGGATGTTTTTCTTTTTTTGTCTTTTTTTTTTTTTTTTTTTTTGAGGCAAGGTCTCGCTATGCAATTCAGGCGGCCTTGAGCTCCCTTTGTAGCCCAGGCTGGTCTTGAACTCACAACGATCCTCCTGCCTCAGCCTCCCGAGTGCTGGGATTACAGGTATGCACCACCATGCCCTGCTGTCTTTTTTTTTTTTTTTAACTAAGGATTGAAGCTAGAACTGTCATATTGAGCTACATCTCCAGCCTGTTTTAATTTTGAGGAATAAAAAAAGTTTAAGCTGGGCATGGTGGTGCACACCTGTAATCCCAACAGTTGAGAGGCTGAGGCAGAGTTGTAAATTTGAGGCCAGCGTGGGCTACAAAGTGAGCTCAAGGCCAGTCTGAACTGCATAGCGATACCTTGTCTCAAAAAATTTGAGACAGGATCTCCCTGAGTTGTCACTTATGTAGCCTAGGCTGGCATCAAACTCGTGCCAATCCTGCCTCAGCTTCCTGAGTGCTGGGATTATAGGCATGAACTACCACACCTGGCTGTGTTTCTTTTTTAAACTGTGGAAATAATGTAAAAAGGTCACAAGCATGTGGGGTTTGTGAGCGAAAGTAAATCTGCCCTTCACCTGCTCCCTGCTCCCGTTCCCTGGAAGTCCTTGGTCAGCAGCTCGTTCCATTGCAGTTTTTCCTGGGCTGGCTCGGGCTGAGGAGGAGCAGGATTTACACAGCAGTGCTTTACTGTTAGCTCAGACTGCTCCGACTCTTGATCGCATGTTTGTTTTTCCTTCTTGAAAGATCTCACTGAGGTTTTCCAGCCTGCCTAGTTTATTCCCTTTATACTTCCAAGAAAGTAGGGCCCCATCATGATGCAGATGTGGTTCCTGATGCAGTTCTGCTCTTCAGAGAGCAGAAAGACCTGGGTGTTTGGGGTGCTCACACCTCAAGGAGTTTTTACCCCTACCCAGTCCTTCTGGGAAGAAGAAAAATGTGCTTATGTGGCCGGAACTGGGTCTGCGTGGGAGGGCGGGCGAGCCGGTAGAGGAGGCTGCTGGCCGTGCCGGCCCCATCCCTCCCTCTGCCCTCCAGCGCAGGCGTCTGTCCCAGGTTCTTCCCACCCCGACCACTTCTTTTCACACGGCCCTAAGCTCATCATGTGCTGTGCTGTGAGGGGTGCAGGGCGGTCAGGTTGACACCAGGGAGTATAGAAAAGTTCACAGGTTTTAAATTGCTCTCTGTGAAGCCCAAGGTGAAGAGTCCCACCAGTAGACCAGCGTGTGCAGTAGTCACTGTCCAAGGCACCGACTCCTCGGGGTCAGAGAGCAGCTGCAGCAGCGGCCCCGTCTGTCTTGGCACGCAAAGCTGTTCGTCATGACTTAATTACTAAGACATGCATGAATACTGTTAGTGAAAGAATAAAGACAAAGAGCCATTCGAACCCAAAATAACTTTTTAAAACCACCTGAGTGAAATATATTCAAGAGTGAAAATCGTGCATAGCAACATTTTTTTTTAAATGGAGAGGCCGAACCAGGAGGTGTGGAGCACCACGGTGTGCGACAGTGTGAGCCTGAGGCGGGCGGTGCGAGTAACGTGAAGGGCTGTGGCCGCCTGGACAGCCCTGGCGACCGGAGCGGAGGGACTCCTGGAGGAGCCAGGCGTCGCCTGTCAGGGCTGTCACTCCCTGGAGCAGGCGTCGGTCAGCAGGCTGAGCTCAGCAGGGCAGCCTCCGTCTCCTTAGGTTAGGGTTTTGTTTTGTTTTTGAGAAAGTCGGTTGTCAGCAGCCACGGGCGGCCTTGGGGAAGCAATCTGCAAGCCTTTTTTTTTCTTCTCACACCTTCAAACCCAATTTTCAAACTGTTTGAAATTTACCCCCAATAGTGTGGATATTTTCCAGCTAACTTTGTCTGGAGAATTTCATTTTCTGACAATGGCCGAGAAGGGAATTCTTTCAAAGGTTTTTCATTTCAGATTTTTTTCTTACAATAGTATGCTTGTTTACCTTTCACTGTCCCCTTGTTTATTGAAACCAAGATGTTCCTAGTTCTGATTTCAGTGTCACCTACTGTTCCCAGTGGGTGTCTGTCCTGAGGTGCTGCAAATGCTCACACCTCAGGAGTTTTTACCCCTACCTAGTCCTTGTAGGAAGGACTCTTTTAAAAGCACCCTCTAGCTGGGGCTATAGCTCCGCGGCACTGTGCCTGCCTGGCAAATGCAAGGTCGGGAGTTCAATTCTCGGTACCAAAAATAAATAAATAAGACAAAAGCACTCTCTGGAACTGTGTGGTGGTGCACATTTGTAATCCCAGCCCTTGGATCCCAAAAGTTCAAGGCCAGTCTGGGCTACATTGTGAGCTCAAGGCCAGCCTAGACTGCAGAGTGAAACCCTGTCTCAAAAAAGACAAAAAAAAAAAAAAAAAAAAAAAAAAAAAAAAAAGAAGGAAAGAAAGAAAGGAAAAAAGCACCTGCCTAGTTTGATGCTGTACCTCATGCCTATAATCCTAGCATTCAAGAGGCTGAGGCAGGAGGATCGATGTGACTTTGAGGCTAGCCTGACCTACATAGCAAGACTGTCTCAAAAAACAAGGATGGTACCAGAGAGGCTGTGTGCAGAGGAGAGCTAACTCCCTTTAAGGTGAAATATGTAATCACCCTTCTGCAAGAGGAAGCAGCGATGGGCGATGGCCCAGAATCTGCCCATGCAATGAGAAGACCTCCCACCCCACCCCACTGTGCTCAGCTGTGTGTCCCCCTGAGTGTCGCCCTTGTTTTCTTCTGAAGGACTGCCTCCGACGCCAGTTCAGCTGCTCTATCCCGTGTCCCGATTCAGCAACGTCAAATCCCTCCAGCACCTTTGCCGATTCCGGATCCGACAGCTCGTGCGGATAGATCACATCCCAGATCTCCCACTGCCTAAGTACAGTGGGGTCCTGAGGGCGGCCTGGCGGGAAAGGGGCATTTCAGACACAGGAACGCCCGGCAGCAATGCCCTCCTTTCACTTGGCCTGAGTCTTAGCACATCACTTGAACGGCACCGGCCAGAGGAAGCAGAGAGCAGGCTCACCAGCTCCTGCAGGCCCTGTGGAGAGTGCAGGGGAGGGGGAAGAGAGGGAGACAGGAGGCAGGGAGGTGGGCGGTGGGATCGGCAGAGCCTCTGGTGTGGCCTCAGCTGTGCAGGAAATGCGGAAGGAAGGGCATTTCTCAGATATTCTGTACAGATAACATTTTATGTGTCTCCTGTTTTGTTTTCCACAGACCTCTGATCTCTTACATTCGGAAGTTCTACTACTATGACCCTCAGGAAGAGGTATACCTTTCTCTAAAGGAAGCGCAGCTCATTTCCAAACAGAAGCAAGAGGTGGAACCCTCCACGTAGCGAGGGCCCCGCCGGTGACCACCAAGGGTAGGACCTGGGGTCCTTGTTGAGCCCCATTCCCGCCCCTCCAACCCCTTATGGCATCTGCTGCAGAGGCACAGAGCCCGTTTAGGAGAAGGCAGGCAGACATGAAAGGCTTAATATTTGCCAAGCTGGAGGTTGAGGTAGGAGGATCAAAGTTTGGAACCAATCTGGGAATTCAGCAAGACCCCGTCTCAAAATTTTAAAAAGGCTGACAGGCATGGTGGCGCACGCCTGTAATCCCAGCACACATCAGGCTGAATCAGAAGGATGGCCATGGGTTCAAGGTCAGCCTGGGCTACATAGTGAGACCCTATCTCAAGAGACAACAACACCACAAGAATTTTTTAAAGAGGAGAAGGGGTTGGGATGTAGCTCTGTGGTAGAGCGCCCCTGGGTTCAATCCATAGCACTGCCAAAAAAAAAAAAAAAATTGCCAGGCCTAGTGCATGCCAGTCACTAGTGTAAGTGAGGAGGAGAACAGGCAAGTGCGGCTGCGGATGCAGCTCTCAATGATCTCACTCTGGGGGTTGCTTTTTTGTTTGTTTGTTTGTTTGTTTGTTTTGTTCTGTTTTGTCTTTTTGATGTTTGTTTTTTTTTGTTTGGTTTTTCTCCGGTACCAGGAACCGAACTCACGACCTTGTGCTTGCCAGGCAGGCGCTTTGCCGCTGAGCTAAATCCCCAGCCCCTGTTTTGTCTTTCTGAGACAGGGTCTCGCTATGCAGTTCAGGCTGGCCTTGAGCTCACTTTGTAGCCCAGCCTGGTCTCAAACTCTCAGTGATCCTCCTGCCCCAGCCTCCCGAGTGCTGGGATTACAGGCGTGTGCCACCACGCCCGGCTCTCTCCTCACTCTTGCACAAATTGTATAGAAAGCAGGAAACCAGAGGGGAAGAAGCGTTCATCAAGGGCAGGCAGACGAGCCTGCGCCTGCAGTACGCGCCCCTCCCTCAGAGCCCTGCCGCCTAGCGGGCGCGGCTTGCTGCTGGCGACGTCTTGGTGTGGCCTTGCCCACTGCTCACTTCCACTCCTGTCTTTCAGTCCCCTGTGGGCCGGGAGTGGGGAGGGCATGCGGCTTCTTCTCTGTCAGGCTGATGGAATGTTTCCTTTCTTTCCTAGGCGTTTGGTTGTCAAGCTGCAGTCTGAACCCGTGGAGTTAGCGTGAAGAGGAGGAGCAGGAGGAGGAGAGGGAACGGGAAGGGCTGGGATCCCCCGCCAGGCCCAGGGCTTGGAGGAAGCACACAGCCGGCGCGGGTGGGCTCCACGTCAGACCGCCCTGTGTGCCGGCCGAATGACGAGAAGGGCTCCTGGAAAACTGGAAGAAGTCTCGACACTGTTTCTTTTAGAAGTTTTGTTTTTGCTCTTTGCGTTCTCGGTATGGAAACTCCTGCTGAAGGCGGCTGGGCTTTGCGCCTGTGGGGCGGAGCGGGGAGGGCAGAGCAGGACCGGTGGACGTGCCCGCGGGAAGGACGCAGCTGCAATGCCCGCGTGGAGGAAGGAGCCGCCTTGTTCCTTTCCTTCAAGGCCTCGGAACCTAACCTGAGAGTCACCTTCACGGAAGCCGCATTAGTCTGGGTTCCGTCATGCCGTAGGCTCTGAGACCCGAACTGAACCGTGCTCGGCAGCCTGAGGCGCCCCGCGAGGGGTCTGACGCAGCAGCCCGGTTGCCACATTGGTGTTTGCCACTCCTCTGAGCGGCAGCGTCGGGGTCCCCGTGGCAAGCCATCGCCCGCTTTGGAGCCACCACGCCCTCCTGCGTCTGCCAGCCGGAGAGAGGGAGGGTAGGGCAGGGAGAGGCCAGGTTTCCCCAGCCCCAGGAGCCCTGAGGTCTCAGCCCTGTGGGGTTCCGAGTCCAGCAGAAGAGCGCAGCCCGTTTCGTGTTTCGGGGCTCTCACGACACCCCTCTCCTGCTGGAGATGGCAAGGTCTCCTGGTTTCCTGCGCTCCTGCCGGCCCCAGACCTTTCCCAGACGGCCTGCTGCCCTCGTCCTGCTGGAGTCTGGGGATGCCCTGGGAGGGCTCCCCTGGAAGAGGGGGTGCTTGGCGCTTCTCGGTGGTCCTCGTTGTGCTGACACTGGTCTATGCACTGCTGGGAGAGGCTGGCCCCCGCCTCCACTGCCCCTCCCCCCCCGCTAGTCTGCTGCACCGTGTTGGGAGACTGCTCCTGGGCTCCCAGAGCTCGCGTCCGCCCCGTCCCGCAGGGTTGGTGGCACATCGGTACAGAGAGACGCCCGCTGTCTTGCTCAGTTGCAGGACTCCTCACCAGGAAGCCCTGGCCTTGGGTCCCACACCTGCACGGAGCGCTGAGCAGAGCCCTGGCCTTGTAACTTGGCTGCAGTGAACCAGCCCAGAGAGCTCTGCAGCAGTGGAGCCCACTTTCTTGGGCGGGGTGACCTGGAGAGGTCCTGTCTGTCTGCAGAAGTTGCCGCCCTGCTGTAGAGCTGCCTGTCTGGACTCCTTTGAGGGCCTCAGCCTGACTGACTGGCAACCATCTGGGACCCACTGTTTCAGCCACCCATAAGTTTAAGGGTATTTATGTGTGCGCGTGGCTCTGGACTAGATGTTGTGGGCTACACCAGGCAGAAGACGTGACCGCTGGCCTGAGGGGACCTTCAGAGTGGCTGCCACATGCAAAGTCACTGGAGGGCACCATGGCAGAGAAGCAAGGACTGCCGAGGGCGTTCGGAGTGGGTGAGAGTGGAGACCAGATGGTCTGGAAGGCTGTGGCGCTGAGGCTGGGTGTAGGCAGGCGGCCTGCCGAGAGGAGAACAGGAGCGGAGCCAGGAAGCGGGAGTCGGCGTGGCGCCTCAGCACCCCGCGTCCAGACCCAGGCCGAAGCCTGCTCCCAGGCAGGCAGAGGCCAAGGCTCGCGCGGTGGGGTGGCGCTGCGGCCGTGTCGGCAGGGCCCCCGAGCAGCACCCGGCGCTGGCTCTTTGCTGTCTCAGCTCAGCCCTGGAAGCAAGGTCGCCCCTGCACTGTGGGCCTGGTGTTTCTGCCGGGGAGTCCACGCTCAGGAAGAGCCAGAGCAGCGGCAGGCCTCCACTCTCCTGCCCTGTGCTGGGGAGAGTGCTGAGCATTAGTCAGGCTCCCCGGAGCCCTTCTCCACTGGATGGGAGTATGGGGCAGGGCAGAGGGGCCTCCTTCCTTCGTGGTGGTCGCAGTGTGGTCCCCATGCTGGGCACCTGCTGTGGGTGTCCTGGCTGTGAGTGCCCCTGTGCTGCACGTGTCACCTGCATGTCACCGAGCTGCTGTGGCCCTCAGGATGGCGGCCCCTACTGCAACCTACTGTTCCTTGAAATTTGGTGCCCAGGGAGGTGCATGGGAAGGGGAGGGCAGGAACTCCGATGCTGGGGACTGGATAAGTGGGTGACAGCTGGCCTTTAAAGGAGATGGGGCCACTGGTGATGATGGCCTGGTCTCCTGCCTGCCCCTGTGGAGATGAGCTGAATGTCACAGCCTGGAGCTGGAGCTGCCTCCAGGACTCTTGCTCCTACCCTGCTCAGGCTGGCGCTGGCGGTGTGGCCCTTGTGGGGGACAGGGTGGTGGTGTTGGGTGTGGCGTGGGGAGGGGGCCCGGGGTTGGGTGTGGGAGACTGCAGGAGCTGGAAATGCCATGGAGGGCACTCCTCAGCCCTTCTGAGCCCCAGCGCGAGGGCTGGGGTGTGGCTCTGGGGCTGCGGAAGGAGGTGCGTGCGTGTGTGCCGCCTCCATTTGCAGAAGTCCTGCTGCCAGTCGGGGTTCCCGGGGGAGCTGGCTTGTTCCTGGTGCTGACAGTGCTGTGCCTCTGCGCGTCGGGGAGGAGCTTTTGAGTTAGACGTTTTCCCTATGGGAACCCTCTTGGTTTGGTTTGTGGGAAGGGGGTGGGTAGGCGGTTTGATCTCTGATTGTCCACACAGCTGTCCTCACACTGGACTGTGCTATCGCATATGTGTAGCCATCTTTCTTTTCACTGCAGCAGTGTTTATCAGTAGTTCAGATGATTTATTTGCTCCTGGGGAGTAAAATCTTTTTTATTAAAAAAAAAAAAAAAAGAAAAAAGTGTCCCCATTATGAAAATTGTAGGATTATGGGGCCACAAAGTCAAGTCTGCAAGTCCCCGTGGCCGGGCCTGCTGTGACATTGGAGGCTTAGTGCTCAGCACAGTGACAGGAGGCCTTGGGCGAGTGGAGGAGGAAGTTCCGGGAGGCCGGGCGAGTCCGGGCCGGGCCCTGGGGACTCGGGTGCCGCAGTTAGGAGGCGGGGATGAGTTGCATTTAAAATACTGATTCATCTGTCTGAGGGAAACCTTCACTCGCCTGCAGATTCCACGTCATCTTCATCCCATTTTGTTGCTCCTTGGCCTCCCTCCCTGTCCCCTCTGCACCCCCGCCCCCCCGTGTCTACCTCCCGGAAGCCAGTCCTGCATGCTGAGTCTGTGCCCTGCTTCCCCGTTCATCTCAGCGGCTTTCAGGGGACCCGGAAGTGCCCCCCAGCCAAGAAGCATCGGGCGGGCAGGAGGGAAAACACGAACAGGAGGTTGCAGCTGGACTGCGATCGCGGCTGCTCCCGGAGATGGTGCGAGGCCAAGGGACTGTTGCCCTGAGCTGCGGCCCCCTCCCGGAGCAGTGCTGCACAGCGGGCAGGCGGGGCTGAGGACGGGCAGGGCCAGGGTGCTGCTGCTGTGTGTCCTGGTTGTGCTTAAGGACGTCACGGAAGAGGGCCGTCGTCCTGGGTCCGAGGGCTCCCCAGCTGTCCACTGGAGGGGCGCTGCCCCTGCAGCCACCGCGACCTCTTCAGCTACTTGTCCCCCGAGCCAGAGCGTGGCCTGGATTTGTCTTCCCATTCAGTTATCCTCTTCCCTCCCTTTTTTGTGCTTAATTTATTAAAATAGTTGCTGTATAATTTATTTTCGTAAGCTATAAAAATGACTAAATGGTTAAAAGAGACTTGCAGGCCAATCTCCCGTAGGAAGACCCGAGGGCGGGAGGCAGAGATGTTTTGATACAAACAAGACAAATGCACTTTGGGTGTGTTGGTATTTTTCTGGGGGTGGAGGGGTGTCGGGCGGGGTCCCTGTAGGTTAGTTCCAGAGCGGGCTGTCTGTACATACTGTATCCATAGGCATGTTTGACTCATAAGGGACATTAGTAACTGCTGCAGGTCCTGTTTGGAAACCCCATGTACAATTCCCGGTTTTTGTAAGTGTCGGCGCGGGAGACATTTGACTCTTGTGTTTGTATCTCCTTTTTATGATTGCTGTACCGACCCATGTCTTTTTGGGGAGGGGTGAAAAGAGATTTGAAATAAAAATGTTTAGAAATTATTTCCTATTTGGGGGTTTGTGCTTTTCCATCCCTCTCCCATCTTAGGCCTGTGCATGCACCCCAGCGAAGCGGGGCCTGGGATGCCACCCCACGCTGAGCTCTCCCAAGAGCCGTGCAGCCCGGGGTGCACACCCAGGGCTCCAGGGTGACTTCATGGGGGCCTGTGGTGGCCTGGGCCCTGCAGGACGAGCCCACGTCACGGCGGCTCACCCTGGTGTTAGCGGGTGGCGTCAGGCTTACCTGCGTCCTCCTGTTGCCTCCAGCCCAGCCCTCTTGTGCTCTGTGGAGACGGATGTGGTGTGCTTCCTGGAGTACACTGAAGTCCCCACCCCGTCTCCAGGTCCCCTACTTAGAGGCCTTTGCCACCTGAGTGAATTCTGGGGGCTGTGGGCAAGGTCCCTGCCGTGTGCTCGGGGAGCCCCCTTGAGTGAAAGGAAGCCGACTTGGCAGGCCGGGCCGTCTCCATGGTCACTGTGGAGGGAGCCAGCGCAGGCACAGACAGACCACAGCTGCATGCCGGATGAGGCTTCTGTGGACTCCTGGGTAAGGAGAAAATGTGCTTTAAACAGTAAGGTATCAGGCCCGCATGGTGGCGCATGCCTATAATCCCAGCACTTGGGAGGCTGAGGCAGGAGGATCATTGTTGAATTCAAGGCCAGCCTGGGCTACAAAGTGAGCTCAAGAGCAGGCTGAACTGCATAGTGAGACTGTCTCAGAAAGACAAAACAAAAAAAAACAACAAGGTATTGCTGGGTGCAGACCCCGTAGCCAGACCCTGTCTCAGGAAAACAGTAAACAACATGGCAAGGGAAGATGCTTTGGTCACAATCAGTTCTAGAACCACCTGCCCCAGGCAGGGAGTGAATCCCACAGGGTCTCTGCAGTGCCATGGGCTGGTGGTGTGGCGGGAATGGAGGTAAAGACCCAGTTTTCATCCGCTCAGCTCCTCCCTGGGCAGTTGCTGGGACCATGGGGCCCGCCAGGAAACGGGCCTGGTGCCTCCCACCCGGATGGCGGAGCCCACAGGACAGTGCCTTTGGAAAACACTGGCTCCTGCTTGTGAAATCACCCCCTGCCTGTCCACCCTCCAACCAGAACACAAAAGTATGCCCTGTGTCCTGTCGACTTCCAGCCTCCGTGCTCACCCTGTCCCAAAGGCTCTTCAGGTCACTTCTAGTAGAGGCTCAGGCTGCGCACAATTAGAAGCACACAGCAAATGACACTGTGGAGGCCCCGCGATCCCCTCTGTCCCGCGTCTGAGCCTCTGGTGGAAGAGGTGACGAGTGAGCTTCCCATCTGCCCGGGTCCTCCAGCCTCAGTGCAATTTGCAGAGCAACTCTGCAAACGGTGCTTGTGCCCGTGGAGTCAGACAGGGACCGCTTTCCCCGGCGCTCCCTGCAGGCCCGGGACTGTGTCCCGGCTCAGGAGGTGCTGGCTGTGTTGTGTTGTCCTTGCTTTCTAATGGGGCCCATTCCCAAGGGATCTTCTTCTCTCTTTTTTTTTTTTGTTTGAGACAGGGTCTCACTGTATAGTCCAGGCCAGTCTTGAACTCACTATGTAGCCCAGGCTGGCCTTAAACTTTCAGGGATCCTCCTGCCTCAGCCTGCCAAGTACTGGGAAGACAGGCGCGCAGCACCACGCCTAGCTGGGCCTTCTCTTTCTTACCCAGATAACGTCTGCAGTTTCCCACTCCACGGTCCCAGGTCCTAAGGCGAAGACGCCCTTGCCAGTCCCTTAGGAGAATCTCAGCTCAGCCACCTTCCGAAGCTTCTCCTCGCATCTCTCTGCACCCCGACAAGCCGTGCCGCAGCATTTGACCGGCGCCTTCCCTCACCCCCAGCCTCCCTTGGGCTGTGTCCTCTGCAGGTCTCCGCCTGTCCCCCGCTCCTCCTCCAAGGCCCTGCTCCAGCCTTACTCCCTCGCTCGGGAGTTTTCACTGTTCACTTCCGGCCAACAAGTGGCTCTTGCCTCTGTGAGGCCTCTCCCGCCTGCGTCTGCCTGCCGGCCTCGGTGACCTCTGTGAGGACAGAGCCTGTGTCCTGCTCATCTCCCCACAGGCTGGCACGGCTGAAGAGATGGTGACTTCCGGATGCCAGGTCAGCGCCTTTGTCAGGAATGCTGCTTCATCCCCTTGGCCCTTGGCCTGGGATCTCCACCTTCTGGGAAACAGAGAGGCCTTTTTATTTTTGCGATACTGGGATTGAACCAAGGGCCTTTCCCACTGAGCTGCACCCCCAGTTCCTATCTCTTGAAAAGAATTTTTTTTGAGGCAGGGTTTCACTCTGTAGGTCAGGCTGGCTTTGAACGCACTATGTAGCCCAGGGTGGCCTTGAACTCAAAGTGATCCTCCTACCTCAGCCTCCCATAGTGCTCGGATTACAGATGTGCACCACCTCACTCTAACCGCCCTTCTGTGTGAACAATTGAGCTGATTTATGTAAAATGCCCTGTACATTTCCAGCATTCACTGAATAGCCATAAGTGTTAATCCCGACCATTTTGGTTTTTTTCCCGGTACTGGGAATCGAACTCAGGACCTCACACTTGTCAGGCAGGCGCTGTGCCGCTGAGGTAAATCCCCAGCCCCGCGACCATTTTTTTCTATTATTGGGCTTGAGGGGGACCGAGCACCTCTCTCTTTCCCAGGGTTGGAGGCGGGAGGACCCGTAGCGCGGCAGCCTGAAGGCTGCATAGGGAGGAGGCTCTTCCAGGTGCCCGGGCCCTGGGGCTGGCGCTGGAGGGGCAGAGCTAGGCGCGTCCTTAGGGCTCTCCTGCCACCTAGTGGCTTCTGTGGGCCAGGCACACAGCCGACCCTGCAGGTCCAGAGTGGCGGCCAGGCTGGGTTTAAATAAATGTAAACAGCATCGCAGTGCCGCTGCCACGGTCACCCCAACCCGACCCCGCCCTCGGAACTCTGGGCGAATCCTCGGCTCACACCCGGCTCAGGTGTGCAGATGAGAGACCCGTTTCCTGGCGGCAGGAGAGCAGGAAGCCTTTGTTCTCCTTCAGCTCCCCAGGGTTGGTGGCTGCCAGCCTCCTGCTTTCCCTGCCCCTGCTCCGCCCCACCAGCTTGATGACAGTTCAAGGGAGGTGGAGGGCATGGCCTGAGCTTCTACTCACTCCTATAAATACAGACTCTTCTGGGCAGGGCTGGCCTGGGGCCCCTGAGCTTCCCTCCCGCCTTCTGAGGTTTTGCCCTTTGGGACCCAGGAGAGGAGAGGGGGCCTGGGCTGGGGAAGGGGGAAGGGCAGGGAGACACCTGGTCCAGGTCTCTCACCCCTGAGGACCCACACGAGGATGCCGCCAGGGTGTCATACGTGGCATGCACACACCTGCCCCGGGAGTGGCTTTGACCACAGTGGAGGGGCTGACCTGGGCCAGGGGCCTGGATGCTGGAGCCCCACGCTGGGCTGTGAGGCCAGGGTCAGGCTCCACGGGCCCCTGTGTCCACTCTGCTGCCCACCGGTCTCCACCCTCGGGCCAGTGCCGGCTCGGGCCAGGATTGCATCATGGTTGGCTTTGTTCTCTGAGCAGCAGGTGCAGGCATGGGGCCACCGCCCTTCCCTCCTCCTCTCCCTCCTGAGGATGCTGCCTCTGCCTTGATTCTCAGCCCTGGTACTCTGGGCTCCCCGAGCACAGGCACAGCAGCTGCAAGGGGGGAATGAAAACCAGGCTGGAGACCACCCTTCAGCCTCTGTGCCCTCTGAGAAAGACATGGTGTGGTCAGGGTGCAGCCCCAGAAGTGGTGACAAGGTCAGACATTGGCACAGCTGAGCTAATGCCAACAACCATCATCAGGCCGGGCATGGTGGCACACACCTGTAATCCCAGCACTCGGGAGGCTGAGGCAGGAGGATCATTGTGAGTTCAAGACCAGCCTGGGCTACAAAGGGAGCTCAAGGCCTGAACTGCATAGTGAGACCCTGTCTCAAAAAGACAAAAAAAAAAATCCCCCCCAAACCAAAAAACATCATCACAGGATAAACCAAGGGCGGTGGTGCACATCTGTAATTCTGGCTACCCAGAAGGCTGAGGCAGGAGGACTGCAAGTTCCAGCCCAGTTTAGGCAATTTAGCAAGGCCCTGTTTCAAAATAAAAATAAAGTAAAAATAAAAAGGGCTGAAGATGTAGTTCAGAGCTTTCTGGGTTCAATCCCCAGTACGACAACAGGGAAAAATGAATTAATTCCGCCCTTGGGAAGTTACTTGTGGACTCGTGATTTCTGTTGCAGCTCAGTCATCGTCATGACCCTGTGAGGGGCGCCCTCATCACGTCTGGTTCACTGACAGGGAGCTGGAGCCTCAGAGTGGTGAGAACAGTTCCTGAGACCTCGAGGAGGCCTTGGACTTGAATCTTGGCCGTGTCCCTGATGGGAATTGGTAGTTTCTGGTTTGGGGGTTTGAAGCCAGAGCAAGGCCATTGCCCCAAATTCTGGTTTGTGCTGGTATGGATGAGCGGGAGCTTGTTGGGGGCCCAGCCTCCCCAGGGGAGAGAAGCCTGCACACACGCACCCCAAGGACTGGGGCAGAGATGAGATGACGCATGGTCCCACCCTTCACCTCCACGGGAGCTCTGCTGGTGAAGCTTCGGGGGTCCACAGCTGTGTGGATGCGGAGCATTGGGTTTTAGCAATCCAGCCACCAGGACTTTGGCCACTAGGAGTCTAAGCCTCGCAGGCAGATCAGTGGGGTTGAGGACAGACCGCCCCTGACCTTGCAAAGCCCAGCACCAGGACTAGGCCTGGCCAAGCAGCAGCTTCTCAGAGGCTCAGCCTGGGGCCGCCGTGACCACCGCCTGCTCCTTGTTTTCACGTTCCGGGCTGTGAAAGAACCAGGGAGCAACCGGCGGTAAAGCACGGAGCCTGGCTGCACGGCCAGGGCCCAGCCCCGCCAGGGCCTGGGAGCGGCCTGCTTAGTGCTGCGGGCAGCAGGGCCCACGTCCGCTGCCTGGCACTCTTCTGTCTCCTGTCCTTTGGTCCAGGATGGACTTCGTCTGCGGGGACAAGAGCGCCACTGACCCTGTGGCCCTGTGACCCCACCCAGGTCGGCGTTCCTCTCGCCAGGCAGCCCGCAGGGCCCTAGGGTGGCAGACAGGGACACGAGCCCACCTAGAGGGCACGGCAGTGAGGACGGGGAGCGCGTGGGCAGTGCCCGCCAGACCTCATGGGGTGGCCACAGCTAGGGGGGTTGGGAGCTCCTGGCTGTGGGCCCAGAGCAAAGCTGCCAATAAATACTGGCAGGGGCCATGGCACGGCCCGGGAGTCCAACTCCAGCCCCCCACGGGCTGCCGGGCAGCACATTCCCGCTCCCTGCCCCCAGCATGCCCCCCACGCCCAACGATAAAGCCCCCTTTGTCTGGCGCGCTCCTGTCTGCTTCCTGCCCTTCTCCCTCGCCCTCTCTGCCCGAGCGGGGGCCACAGCTCTGTGAGAAGGGGTGGGGCCCCCTCCAGCCAGTCTGGACCCTGGGGGGTCCCTTGGACATCCAGCCCCCCAGTGCCCGCTGGGCTCAGGGCAGGTGACACTCACCTTGGTCCCCTGGACTCCACCCCTGCATCTCGCATGCCTGTCCATGTGATGTCCCTTGCAGCAGGGCCCTGGCCTGTTGGGGGCAGGACACGGCGGGGGGTGTCTCCGGGCCTCTCCTGGGCCTGCACCACACTGGCAGCCCCATGGCTCCCCGCCCACTGCCAGGCGGGCTCAGGGGCTCCAGGACCTCCCATCGGTGAATGGTCTGGGGCCTCCGCCTGGGGCCGGGTGACAGGGTGGGCGACAGGAATCTTCATCCTTGTTGCTCCACACAGCCACGGCCTCCCGGGCACATCTGCATGTAGGTGGGACTGGCCACAAGGGGCGGTCGCCTGCCACCCCCCACCCCGTCACAACTCCCGGTTCTCACGGCCATCACAGGCAGGGCCACTGTGTCTCCCGGGTCCCAGGCCCTCAGGCACCCTCTGAAGTGGCCTGTCTGCTGCCTCGTAGGCGACAGCTGACAGGTCAGCTCTGCCACCACGCTGCTGGTGACCTTGGGCAAGCCCCTCTCTGGCGCCTGCAAAATGAGGGGGGGGGGGTCCTTGTGACCAAGATCACCCTGGGGAGAGAGGACAGGGCTTTCTTGGGGAAGGGTCTTCCCCGCAGGGACAGTGTCCCCTCCCCAGAGCAGCCAGAGGGCGGAGTGGAGGAAGGCAGACAGGAGCCCGGGAGTGGGAGGCCCGCGTGCACCCTGCGGGGACGGCGACAGCGCGTGCGATCCTCGCGAGGGCCCGGGTGCTGCGTGCGAGCGCGGCCCCC